CTTGTCTCGCCTTTGAATCAGACCTACGAAATATGAAAACGAAAATTTTATTAGCAGTAGCGCTCCTTGTGAAAGAGTTCGTCTATAGGCAAGTACTGTCACTTTATTTCTGCCGCCAAGTAGTAATGTGCGCAGTACTGTGTTCCGGTTTTGAAGGGTAAAGGTGCTGGCGAAATAAGAAGCACATAAGACTTGTCAATATCTCACGATAACGCGCCTACAGTTCTTTGTGACTTAAAGCTCTGTGTAGCACTTCTTATTCTGGGGATACGTGATCAAAAGAAACACTTTGACAATATCGACGAATTAAAAACGGAATTGGGCGCATTATTTGAAATATATTTCTTGCTAACTTAACTACTCATCATAATAACGGAAATTTGCATACAAGAAGATGGATCACATTTGAATAATTTGACTTTATAAATTGCAAAACCCGTGGAATATACATTGGCAGTTTTTACTTGAATGGAGATGGAAAAAACTGTTTATTAATTTGAAACATTGTAGTTTTTTGGATAAGCATTAAGCTTTAAAAAACTTTACAGTAAAAAAAGGTTGCAACATTGTGTAGACCATAGATTTAGTATATGGTGAGAGCAGGCCACTAAATGTTATAGGAGAAGTAAGTTTGTTTGTAAAATACGAGAGTCCTTCTTGTTTAAAACATTATTATTCACATTGACGAATTGTTTGTTTAGGAAACATAGATGGCGCGACTTGAAACTTAAGCACGTTGTAATCGATATCCGAGGTGGTTAGACACTCTATCTTTAGCGAGGGTGTCTATTACTCCGAGGGTTATATTGACTTTTATTCTCGAGGTGAAAACTTTACTTTTCACTTCGATTGCGAGAAAAAAAGTATTTCAATCGTTTTCGCTCACGCGGCATAAAATACAGGGTTTTTTTTTCACATTTCGACGGGTAGATTCTCAGATGAGGCAAGTTACTTACTTTTAAACATTGACTTACAAATAAATGGACGACGGGTCTAATACAAAAACCACGAAAAAAATGTCCCAAGTCAACCTATTTAAACGTAGTGACATGTAAAGGAATATGAAAAAGCTAAAACGTTGAATTTAAATTGTATGTCATCGCAGTATTGTCTAATTTTGCTTGCTTCGCTGTCAGTCGAACAAACGAATCGTGAAAGCGTGAATGACGCTCTGTATACGTTTTCAACGCCCTATAAGTTCGGACACTTTTTAGCGCGGACCCGACGTCCATATAATTGTAAGTCAATGCTTTTAAATATAAAATAATGTGTCCATGTCTGCATTTAAAGGACTTTGTCTCCGTGTCGTACAGCTGTGGGACCCCCTGTATAAATATGTTTGTAAGAAGAAAATAAAGCGGTACATAAACATCGCCGTGTACAGAGTTTTGTATCATACAAAAGATATCACCATATCGCGGCTTCCCTCGGGGCTTTCTTCGTTTCATTTATAAACATGAATTGTTTTTTTTTTTCGTTTAAAATTTCTCGCTCTTCGAAGTTAGTGGTGGAAAAAATACTAAGTACATTTGTAATGAATACACTATTATCATCATTACCAACACATTTACATTCCACCGCTAGGCAGCGACGAAAGGAATTGCTAATGTGGTTTTTTTCATAACTTCAAGTGACGGGACGAGCAAGTCGTGCGCCTGATGATAAGCCTTTGACTATGGAAACAAATCCTCTAAGTGGTAAGCTACACGCCTGTCCGAAGTTAGACAGTTAAGGGAGACGATACAATGCAACTCTGAATTTAATTAAATAATAAACAAAAAAGTAATTTTGCTTTCGCTATTGCTAATCATTGGAAACGAAACAGTTGTTCATATTCATGTTCATCTTTATTTGCTCGCCACATGATTTCACAAACATCGTAAATAAATTGTTCTCATACATGTGGCACCTTGCAAGGGCGTTGCAAATTCGAAGAGCAGTTTGTTTTAGATCTAAAATTTGTTTGGGATCCAAATCACATATGTTTTTTTATTGAACAAACCAACGCTTCGGGACCTGTAAAGACTCTTTACACGTCTCACCAGTCAGAGTCAACCAGGAGCCGTTACTCGTAAGAAGCCCGAAACGTTTCGTGGAATGAACTTGTCGCCTTTAAAAAAGACACATTAGTTTTATTAGCGTTATCCCTGAATTTTTCGTACTCAATTTATTTCCACGTAAAAACGAAAACTTACTTAAATATTAATATAAATAATCTCAGTACAGAGTACTAAAAAAACCGACCTCAAAAGTACGTGGAATTACGTCTATTTGCTAAGTTTCATTGAAATATCCCCTAGTTCGCCACTATACAGGACTTGATACTGGAGATAATAAAAATAGGTTCTCACTACGACACTACTCAAAGTATATCGAGAGAAAAACGCCTTGAATTGGAGAAATAGCAAAATCAACTAAATAATTGCTAAAAGTGATTGCTCCTAAATTAAAGTTAGGCGCTATTTATAAAAATGAAACTTCATGCGTGATCAGCCACCCTTTGAGGTGGATGATTTTCTTCAAAATGAAATGGGACCACTATGGAAATACCCCCTTTCCAACAAAAAAAGAATCATGAAAATCGGTTCACAAATACCGGAGTTATAGCGTAACATACATACAAAAAAAGAAAAGAACATACAGTCGAATTGAGAACCTCCTCCTTTTTTGAAGTCGGTTAAAAATAAAAAGTACCTGCTCAGTTACTAGAGCCAGGCTTAATTTTTCAGAAATTTTAAATTGACTATTCTGATTTGAAATGGGCGGCATTCGGAGTGGTTACCCGCGCAATTTCCCGCCATCTTGAAAGTTGACTTTGTGCTATTTTGGTTTAGGCGCCTCTTTTTTCTGTTTGCTATCACGGTGACCTTAATAAATATTATACTTGAAAATGTTTAAATAAATGTTAATTCTTCTATCTAGAATTTAAACCTATTAACCTAAACAATAATCCATGAGATCACGAACTCATAAATTTAGATCGGTTTCTTGTAATAATCCGGCACCCCTGTTAACGATTTGTTTGATTCACATCTCAAAATGGTGGTGTCAAAATGGGCCTATTAGTTTATGACAACTGTAGTAGCAAACTATTATTCGACTTAAAAATTAAAATCATAAGTACATGACATTCCTCAGCGCAAATAAATAAGAAGCTTATTGTTGTTACTGCGTACCTATTGTTAGAATCAGATTTATAAAATAATGACAAATGATAGGCCTTTCACTGCTCGTTTCTATCCGACACAGCGTCATTATTTTGATGTTGTTCCTACGACAAGATAAGCTTTCGCTGACAACTAAGAGTAATTCCTTGATGGAGATTAGTTTCATGAGAGGCAGTGACGTCAGGCATTGGCGCGTGTTATCGCGTCATCTCGAGGTAAGGGTTAGTACCGCGCGGCCTCACACAGCCCCCAAGTTAAAAGCCAGGCTAAAAGCTCCGCAGACGTGACGGATAGTCTGACATGACTGCAATTTCACCGAACTCTATCTGTATACGTCCTATAGCTATCCATTAGTGTTTGTAAATGTTTACTTTTTTCAAACAAACCAACGCAACGTTTCGAATTATCAATACTTTATTTTTATAATTATGATTACAAAGATGGAACAGGAAGGAAAATTCCTTCGATCTGATAGCACTCAAGCTTACGTGTGTGATATATCAGAGCGATAGTACAGATCGAGTTAGCCATTGTAATAGTTTCATTTTATTTTTATTTTAACTTATTGGAAGACCAACGGTTATCTTACAGAGTAAAAAAAGAAATACTAATAGACAGCCCAATACCTTATATAAGACTTATGTACAGGGGCGCAGATATTATATGACGTGTATTGGTCGGATCATTACCCGCTGCTCATTGAATGTGACCTTGACTTGATAATACCTAAATCTGCGACTAGAACAGTGAATCGTGTGTTATGGGGCAACGGACATAAAGATCAAATTGAAAAATATAATAACCTTTGTACTAAATATTTAAGTAATGTTTACATACCATATGACCTGTGTGGGGATTGTGAGCAGACGTGTGGTAGCGAAACGCGCCTCAAATTACTAGATTCTTTTTATAGTGTAACTCAAATTCAAATGGCTGCAAGATTAACGTCACAAAGTAAGAAAGTGAGAAAGAAAGTCATCGGATGGAACTACCATGTACTACCCGTGTATAATGAGGCGCGTTTGGCTCACAGAGCTTGGTTCTCGTTCTTCTGTCCCTGTGTATGATGATATGAATATTAAAAGGAAAGCGTTTAAGAATAAATTGAAACGGTGCCAGCGTAATCAGGACAAAATTAATATGAATATTATAGCTTTGCAGAGATCTAACGGCAATTTTAGTAAATTTTGGAAAGATACCAATAAATTAAATTTTAAACAAGGTAGACCTGTTACAGTTGTTTTATGTCACAATTTAGGGTGGAGGTTTCATTGAAGGGTTGTCCACCACCCGCGGGGGACGATAGATCTGGCGGTCGTGACCAGGTGATTGAGACGAAATGACTTTTTACTCCAGAACAGATCTGGAACTGTGTACGTAAAATGAAACGTGGTAAATCACCTGGCCACGACAGTCGTGAGTATTGAGCACGTCCTTTATGGTGGGCCTTTGTTACATGAATATATGGCAATAATTTTTAATAATTGTATATAATGTGGTTATGTACCTGCGGATCTTATGTGAACAAATGTCGTTCCAATATAAAAAAATAGGACAGGTGATCTAAGTAACCCTATAAACTACCGACCAATCTCGCTTGCAACAATATTTTCAAAAATATTGAAGCAACTGATAAATCCGTTAATTACGGAAACGGTAAAACTAAATATAGCTCAGTTTGGACTTCGACCTGGTCTCTCGACGGATGTGGCTATATTTTGCCTCAAAAATACCATAAAGCATTATTTAAAAAGAAAAACTACTGTATGTGGTTGCTTTCTCGACCTAAGCCGCGCTTTTGACACCATCAACTATAAGCTATTGTGGTCAAAAATGTCAAGGGCCGGAGTGCCAAATAGTGTGACATGTCTGTTGAGATTCTGGTGTGGGAATCAGATTAACGTGGTGCGCTGGGATGACGTGATCTATGGGCCGTACAAGTTAGATTGCGGGGTTAGACAGGGAGGGTTGACGTCGCCAGTTTTGTTCAACATTTATGTAAATGATCTGACGGAGGAACTTAGCAGAGCTGCAGTCGGCTGTCATGTCGTAGGAGATTGTGCAAACAACTTTAGTTATGCTGACGATATGGCACTGTTGAGTCCCTCTATTAGTGGAATGAGGAAACTTATTGACATACGTGAACGGTATGCTATCGCTCATGGTCTTCATTATAACGTGAAAAAGACAGAACTGATGGTGTTTAAATATGACAAAGGGCCAGACATTGTTGCGCCGGTTACGTTACTTGGATCAACGTTAAAAGTAGTTCCTACATTTAAATACCTGGGACACATTATTACAGACAGATTTACGGATGATGAAGACCTTGAGAGGCAGCGCCGAGCCATTTCAGTGAAGAGCAATATATTGCTCAGACCAGGTGAAAGTTACTCTGTTTCGGGCATACTGTCAGGCGTTTTATGCGAGTCAGCTGTGGTATAATTATACCAAACGATCGATAAACATTTTACGAGTGCAGTACAACAACGCATTTTTTGAGCCACATTACGTCTGCCATGTTTGCCCTGAACAGGGTGGACGATTTTTACGCTCTTTTACGAAAGCGTCAATGGTATTTTGCAGAGAGACTAAATAAGTCCAGTAATGAACTTGTGCAGACTTTGTTATTAAGATGTGACTATTATAATTCCTATAACTGTTTTTAATACTCCTAATGTTAATCTTGTTAATTGTATTTTAATTTTATAACTTTTTGACATTTTAAATTTATAACTTGAATTTAATTTTTATTTTATTTCTTGCTTTTAAATTTTTCTGACCGTGTAATGTATAATGTAATGTTATGGGATTAATGCCTAAATAAATAAAATAATTGAGTACCAATTTGTTTTAATAAACAATATTAGTTATTGTTGTCAATTTCATGTTACCAATAATAAAAATAAAGTATATCAACGGATGTGTGTGTGATAATGTACCACAATCGCATATTTGAACGAGTCTCGGGCAACTCGCGCCATTACGAACAATAGCAGTGTGCGTTTGATATTACTCTAATTAATTGTGAGCTATTTTAGATTATATACTAAAAACCAAGATGGACGGACGATCTGAGCAAGGTGGCCGGCAGTGGCTGGATGCGGGCGGCACAAGACCGGGAAAGATGGCGTGCTCTAGGAAGGCTTATGTCCAGCAGTTGATGCGTGTAAGCTGATGATGATTAAAAACCAAATATCAATTGAAATAAAGTATAAAAGTTTGACCAAAAGTTTTAATGAATTCGGTTACCGGACTCATCCCCTAGTTTGCCACCCTTACAGATGGAATATTTTCTTCAAATATAAATGGAACCACTACTGAGGTACCCTCTATCCAACTGAAGAAGAATCATCCAAATCGGTTCAGGAATGTGTTATCGCGTAACATATATACAAAAAAACATATGTGCGAATTTAGAATCTCCTCCTTTTTTAGAATCGGTTAAAAATATAGTTAACGACGTATCAGCAAAAGAAATCAACAGAAAAATAAATTAGGTACAAACAAATATTTCTCTAGATCAACAATTAATCGTTTTTGTTATTGTTATTGTGCTCGACATTGACCTACAAAGCTGTTCGACGTTCATATCCGGAAACTGCTGCGCCCCTGGAGGTGGAAAAAGCCAAAACTTCGGTCGTGTATATTTGATTGAACGGAAACGAGCAAAGACAACATGAAACAACTCCGAACACCCGCCGGGAAAGCTATCACGAGCCTGAACATCTATTATTGTTATTTTTATAGCAACTAGCAAGCGGTAGCAAGATCTTCGTACTTTAACTGTCACTTTATTGGGCCCGTATAATGCACACTTTTTTAATGTAGTTTTTGAGTTATTGATCACCAATAACTCAAGAAGACTGCTAATCTTCATGCTAACCTACAGATCGTTTTCTGAAGAAGGTCAAAATCCTGTCTTCTATATAAACGGCGCTCGATAGGGCGAAAGTAGTTTATATTATGTTCTCGTAGCGCCGCACTAGGAATTTTAGTTCCGCTTACTTTGCGTCCTTCCTTTTTTAAGTTGGCAATTGTGTTTAACGAACATTCCAGTAATTTTCAGGTATTTTTATTGTATTAAATTTTGGTGACAATTTTTATTATTTAATTACTAGAATATATCATAGTGAAATATTAAAGAATATTTCAGGTTACCACACTCGAATATTAAATAATACTTCATGATGATATTCTATAAATATTTAAATAAAAAGAAATTGTCACCAAAATTGAGTACAATAAATGTGCCTGAAAATTATCCATTCAATCAATATACATTTATCAACTTAACTACAACGTAAGAGATACACAGTCTCAACTAGCTTGTATCTTTACCAATAAACCTTTTACAACTTAACTTATCCATCTATTTAAACAATTAGGCGTCAATACTATAGCGTAGTATTGGCTCCTACAAGGACGACCCTGTATCGCGGGTGCCATGGACACACACACACAGATAACCACATATTACATCCAAACTCACGAGAGAAATAAATACAGGCCATACACATTTTTTTCCCGGCCTGGGAATCGAACGCGGACCTCTGCGTGGCAGTTTAGTATGGTAATTGTTCGGCTACGAAGTCAGTTAAATACCCATAGATATAAATTAATTCCAGACCATGACCTAAAATTGTAGAACTTTGACAAATATGCGCATCAATAGATGACATTGTGTGTTACGAACTAATTTTTGCTAGCTAATGTGTGTAGATGGCGCTAATCCTAAACAAAATACAAGAATAGCCGGCAGTATCCATAAAAATCTGTGCAATAAGCGCCGTCCAGTTGATTTGTTTGTTATCACTAGAAATTAGGGTAGCTTTTATAAATTACAGCTCGTCAATACAAAACAAGACAAAAATAGCTATTTGGTACTCGTCGCGATATTTGGTGAACCAATAGGTACTAAATAACTAAGGTCATGTATCGCGAATAGCAGTCCTCTTGGGTTATTGGTTCAGGTTCAGGTCAGGTTCTGTGCTGTAACCTTGTGACATAAGTTGGCAAGTCCCATGTGTCTGTAATTTCACCAGCACCCTTCACCCTTCAGAACTGGATCACAGTAATGGCCACGTTACCGCTTAGCGGCAGAAGTAAGATGGTAGTACTTCCCTGGACGACAGTAATTTTCAGTTAAGTTTTTGTACTCAATTTTGGTGACAATTTCTTTTTATTTAAATATTTAAAGAATATCATCATGAAGTATTAAGTATTTAATATTCGAGTGTGGTAACCTGAAATATTCTTTAATATTTCACGATGATATATTCGAGTAATTAAATAATAAAAATTGTCACCGAAATTGAGTACAAAAACCTAACCTGATAATTACTGACGAGCTCTTTCACAAAAAGCTCTACTGCTACCAAATTTAGAAAGTGCATGGAGCAGGAGGAAGCAGCTTCGCATGTCCTACTATAATGCTCCGGAATGGCTAATTATGTACATCAGGTTGTTCCCCGAAGTCTTCAACTAAAATTCCAGGAGAAGCATAGTGGCAAGAGTAGACACCCTGAACCCGCCACACACACAATAGATGCTGTGACGTCGTTCGAGTTACGGAAATGAGCACGCTATACCATAGCATTCCACACTATAGTGAATATAACGACTTAAAAGAGATTCCTTTCATCTTTAGTTAAACGGCTGTATCGTAGAGATTTTTATAAGACGGGTGTTCTCTTTCAGGAAGCAATTGTGAGCTTTTGAACCCTTGCACGACAATGATACACTAGTAGCAGGAAATTGTGTTTCTCGCGAGCTCGTTTTTGATGAAAAGAATCGCTGTAACCTATTCATGTAGGTATTTGGTTGAAGTTTTTGTTCCTCGATTATTACCACAGTAGCACTTAAAATGTGACTTTTGCCTTTTATTTCAAGTACTCTATTTCTTTTATTACATTTTCGGGATTTCAGAGAGAGGTGTTATTCACTCTATGCGTGTTACCTGAAATTTAGATAAGAATGCTCTTTATATTTCGATCTCACTCGATAAGCAGATTAAGCTCTGCTGCATACGCTAGAATGCGTCCGTAGAATACGTGAGTTTAGCGATGTTGCTACTGCTAGACTAGTTAACTTTAGTTATATATATATAATACAAACTATATTTGTGTTGCAAAAACGAGCAATTCGTTCTGTGTACCGTTTAAGTTCTCGGATTTCTCTCAGAGAAAAGTTTAAGGAGACTGGTATCATGACTGTGGCATCACAGTACATTTACTCAAATACTTTTTTGTACGCACGTCAAAATATACGTAATTTCGTTAATAAAGAAGATATCCATAATATTAACCTTAGAACTAAGTCTAAACACATGGTACCACGATTTCGTTTAACTAAGGTGAAACTAAAGTAAGGTGAAAGAAGGTAAGATAAAAAAGTATTCTTTTATGGGGAACTGTAATACTTTTTTACAATAACATTCAAAAGCATATATTAAGATTACCATTTCCTAAGCTTAAAACTTACATTAACTGTTATTAAAAGACAATTTTGTGCTCTATCTTTTGCCATTTAAAACGGATATTTGGCCGTTTGTCACTTTAGCCGCGTTTTAGTCAGTGGACGGCATAATGGGCTTACGGCATTTTGCTTTGGGGTAATGCCGCCAATATTAATAGAATCTTTATGTTGCAAAAACGTGCTGTTACGGCAATTTATATATTCTGGACACCAGAGAACCCTTCGAGAAAATTCATCTTGAGAAGAAAATAATATTGTTTTTATGGATAGTGTTTTTTCTAGACTAAACAACGAGGAATAAAAATAAATTCTCTGTTCTTACCATTCGTTCACGAAGTCACATCGTCATGATCGTCATAAAAGCTCTCTAAAACATGAATTGTCTTCAGTGCAGTCGCACTTACTTTTGAAGTTTGTAACCTGTATGCTCGTAAATGGACTACGCCAATGATATTGAAAACTCTTCTGATTAAATAAACTGTAAACCTTTATAACGCAGAATACAAACATAATAAACTCGGTGTTCCACAGGGTTATGTATTGGGTCCTTTATTGTTTATTTTGTACATTAATGATCTACCTAAAGTGACAGACTATAACTGTGTATTATTTGCAGACGACATATTCATTGTAGTGACATCTAATAAAAAATATGTAAACGAATATGAAAACGACATTAATTTTACTATAGAGTCCGTAATGGAATGGCTTAATAACAATAATTTACATGTAAATGTGACAAAAACAATTTACATTCAGTTTTCTTTAAAGGGAAAATCGCAACTTAGTCTAAATGTACATTATAGGAATCAAAAGATTTGTACAGCTGATAAAAAAATTTTGAGGACTATGCCTGGACAAAAATCTTAATTATAACAGCCATATTGATAATCTATGTAACAGAATCAATAAATTTGTATATGTGTTAGGCAGGCTGTCTAAAACAATATGTCGGGAAGTGGCTTTGTATGCTTACCATGGTTATATAGCGTCAGTTATTCGCTGCGGAGTTATAATTTGGGGTAACAGTGCAACAATTGGTAGAGAATGCATAGCACAAAAGAAATGTATACGAGCTATTTGTGGTGTTGGTCCCTTGCTTAGTTGCAGGACTCTTTTTCCTAAACTGAGAATATTAACTGTAGCCAGTGAGTACATTTTAGAGTTATGTAAATTAGTGAAACAAACACCAGATCTATTCAAAGGAGCCAATAGTAGTAAATCCTAGAAGTATAAGGAAACCTGATAGACTGGTGTTAAACTGTTGTCCACAGACTACATTATTTCAAAGAAATTGCTATAGCATGGGTGTTAGATTTTTAATAAAGTACCAATTTGAAAGCATTGCCGACAAATCAAATGTGTAAAAAACTAGACAAATGGCTTTTGGAAAATTGTTTCAACAGCGTCAAAGAATGTTTAGATATATATTTAACAGATAACACTGTAGTACATGTTAGTATTAATATTTTAATGTAACGTATGGTTAAAGTTTTGCATGCCGACCATCGGTAAGATATGCTGCACTAATTATTAACTCATTTGTAAACTTTTTTAACCGTATCTTATGAAAATAAAAATGATTTCGTTTTATTTCCAAACAATATATTCTTCCCGTAAAACAACTACATTCCTTCGGCCGCCGCCATTCGGGACAACTGTTGACAGTTCTGGTGCGTTGTAGCTATTACCAACTTATTTTATTATTATATTAGTTAGAATGAATGTTATTATAATCATATTTCTATTTATATAAATTAATGAAACATTAAAATAAATACATTCATATTGCATATATAACAAAATAAACAGTATTTCATTTATCGATTTCATTTATAAAGAACACTAAAACATAACTACATAATTTGTTTATTTGTTTTTTTCAAACAAACCAACATTTAGGGCCCTTTACGAGGTTGTCAGTCAACCGTGACCATGGGACCTCCAAAGGGCCCAAACGTTGGTTTGTTTGAAAACAGAAATATACGCGATTTAAATCCGGAAAAATAGTTTCATTTCCTATGTGTAACAATCGCGAAAACCTAAGAACTCGATATTATATGGTATTTTTTTAAAAGGTTTCTGTAGATGACATAGATTTAGTACATACGCTTTGTTCGGAATCGTCTTTATCTCATTTAGAATTCGTAATTGGAATAAAATAGTCTGCAATATTTGTGACTTTATAGGAGAGTTGACACTGGTATTATTTGCTGGCAATAAGTCCTTCCAGCTCTTTTACATGTTGTGTGTAAAATTAATTATAAAATTACTAATAATTGGTCTGGAAAATTCTCATGTAATTTCAACGTAAAATCACTACTCGAGTACAAATATTATATAATTAAATAAATTACAAGCATACCAAACTATAACCAAGGAGGCCGCAACGCCTAAAGTGACACCGTACGTGTCACAAAATTATATGTCGTGTTCGCACGTCAACACGAATTGATAAGGAAATAATAATAAAAATATCTACTTGCGAGCTGCCTGTTGTTAGTGGTTTCAGTGTCGTAGAGGAAACACAGTTACGACACTGGAGGATTCGGTGGAGAACCTGCCGCTGCTGCCTGGCAAGGGGTCGGTGGGCCCTCGAACATTCAAATGGCAGCGGTTATATCTTGCTGTCTTTGCCTTGTGGTAACGATACGCTCAAAGAGTGTTTACTCTTCGATTTCCATAGGCGCATCGGTGGCGGCGGCGAGTGTGCAGATGTGCGGCCAGTGCTGCGGCGCGTGTTCCGGCTGCACGCTGCGCCATCGGTGCTGCCCACGCTGACACCGTGCGCCTCTGAGACGCGTCTTGACAAAGAGCACTGGGTGAGTGAAGAGGCAGGGCGTCCAATTTAGGTCTGAGTGATGTGACGTATGGTTTTGTCGTAGAGCGAGCGGTATGCGCCCTCGCCAGACCCCCTGCGGCAATGCGAGAGCGCTCTACGTCGCACGGCCGCCAGCCGTTCGGCGCGTGCGCCGCCTCGCAACGCCTTTCATCTGCGCCGCACTGGGCATTGCCACGCGCCGCTGCGCCCCCTTGCCACACCTGCACTGGCCTCTATCGCAACCGCCTGTCTGAACCGACACTTGCTGGGTCGCGCCGACCTCAAGCCAGCTCTGGACCAGGACGCTTGCCGTGAGTGGAGTGCTTTCATCGGCTCCTACTTATTCCGATTGATTAAAATGTCTTATTTCACTTCGAATTTTTTATCAGTAGGGAACTATTTTGCTTGTAATTATTTAATGTAATTTCTATTATACTGTGATGCAAGCTGTAAATACCCTAAAATAAATAAGTATATAATATTGTATCAACTCATGTAAGTACATCCCACTAGTGCCATTTATGTATGTTACAAATTTGGATGTTAAGCTTGGTCCCCCGCCACAGGCGATCACAGCCTCTGGGTGCAGAACACGCTGGCGTGTTGCTCGGGAAACCTTAGCGAGCCGGACTTGACGCTGCGCGGCGTCTCCGGTTGCACGCCACGCGAGACGCTCTTTTTGAATTCGAATTATTCTTCTGAATACTCGTACAGGTATATGGTTTTCTGGTGACTTTTACTCTTTTTACGATAAGGAAGTACACATAAATATTTCTCATGCCCAGCATAGGATCGATAGCCCCATGGCATATCTCACCGCCGACGCCGCCGCCGCCAATCGTACCCCGGGTGGAAATGGTCATGTGTATCCCGCCGCAAATTGATTTTATTAATTTTAACATTGGAGAGCTGTACACGGTCAGTAACACTGTTCGATAGTGTGACAAGTGCGAGAGGTGACATGAAGACTATAATGTAAGGGGCGGCCGTCCAGCAGGCGGCGGTGCGGCTGGTAAATGTGTCGTCAATGGAGGTGAAGGTGTCAGTGCGCCCGCCGATTCGGCGCGAACTGGATGTGCAGTTGTGTGGCCGTCTCTCTATCACCTCCGGCGCCTCCACCGAACTGCGCGTGCACTTCCGGCCGCGAGACGTGCGGCGTCTGCGCGACGAGCTCCGCGTGCGCGTCTCGGTCGGCCAGAATATTCATATTCCAATCAACTGCTACATGGAGCCACCCATACTCGACGGTCAGTATCAACCGAAAGTGGTCTAGTGGTACTATTTTTTGATAAAAGTAATCGATGTTGCATAGTGGTCGTAACGAACGCTGCGCACACCGTGCTTGGGCCGTCGGCGTTGCGTGCGTCGGAGATGACGATGGGTGGCAATGATGCCCCAGTGGGTGATGTACTGGACTTGGGCGCACGACTGCTAGGCGATACCCACCGTGTGCACCTGCTACTGCGTTGCGGCTCAGAACACGCCAGTTTTTTCGTGTTGCCAGAGGACGCCTGGCTAATGTATGCGCCCGCGGTGAGGAAGCACTCAAACTTGCTATAACTATGTACCGAGGTTAGATGTGAGTATGTCGTTGGATTTGTGCAGGAGTTGACGCAGTGCGGCACGCTGTTGTGCGGCGTGTTCGCATTACAGCCAGTCTGGTGGGGCGAAGGGCGCGGCGCGGTGAAGGGCTCCGTATGGTGCCGAGCCACGGCCGTGGGGTTGCAGACGATGCCATTGCGGTTACTGTCGTCAACGGCCATCGCACGCCCGCTCATGCTACTAGCAGACTCTCTGTACTTCCATCCGGAGCACGTGACATTGCAAGTGCGAAGCCTCTTACTGTCAGGTCTTTTATCGCGTTGAACCCTGGACTCTCACAGTGAACTCTCTCGACAGGCGCAAGAGAAGAACTACGACATTTGCAGCGATGACGATCCGGACTGTGAGCACTACGTGAACCTTGGCGTAGCGTTTCCGGGTCGTCCTCTCTCCGCTACAGTGCAATTGCTGAACCATAGGTCATACATAATACGTAGATCAGTTTGGGCGCCGTATGTCTTGTCTTGGGTACAAGCAGTATTCAAGTAGTACAAGCGAATATTCCATCTTCGTACAATTGCGGTTGCCGCAACTGGTGACCGTGTCGATTTTACATTAATTTAAAAAAATAAAATATTCGCTTCTAGTCGCCGGTTGCTAGTATCCAACACAAAACATGGGTTTGCGCGGCGTCTTAACGCACAGTCGAATACAGAATAACTTTATCACACCCATAGCAGGCCGCCGCGATAAAGCTATTATATCCACATTTATATAACCATCAAATTTGAGTGATAAAACAGCCTTTTCCAAATTTTATCATATCAGCTAACATGGCGTCCACATAGGTAACAGGCTTCCCACCGGCTTGCCTAAAATTTTCCGCGTATTACCAAAAGATTACTAAACAGCGCGCATACCTCACCACTTAAAAAACACATTCAAAATATTAACTATTACACACGTAATCTCACCAATCAGCGCGAGGTAAGGTGGCGGATCTGCGAGTTCTATTTCATTCATGTAATCTACGCGCTTCCATTTAACACACGCACACATTCGTAAAAATCCGCTATAATATATCTAAAGAAATTGCGGCCGAGAAGCCGGAATTAATCGGCTTCTAGTCGAATAGCGTTCACGTAAATTTAAACCTTATTCCAACAAATTACTGGTTAATTTATTTTAATGTCAGAATCGTTGCCAGATGTAAAACTTTCTTAAAATGATGTAACTAAATTATTATAATAGCAAATTAATACAAAATATGGTTAATTGATATTTGGTAAATCTTAAGGACAAATAGTGTTACGAATGTATCTATATCTAATTGAGTGTTTCTTTTTAATAGGGCTACGTGTTATTAAAATAGCATCACTTAGCATTCATAATAGCAATTACTTTGTTACGGAAAGTATTTAAAAAAGTTGTGTTTTGTTTTCTTACCTTTTATATTGAATCACTCCCGGTTTGAGAAGGTATTATCCAATACATGTGTATTATTTGAAGTTTAGGTAATGATACAGCCAAAAAACTAAATTACACTTCACGTCTACATTTTTTGTGTGCAAATGAACATTGTCTGTTTTGCAGCCCAGTGTATTACTCATACTATTGGTGTTTGCGCACGTGGGGTGTATGCACGTGCTGGCAGGATGAATTTGAGGATGGCGACTGGCTAGACGACAACGACGACGTGTGGCGATGCAAAGGCGCGCGATTAGCCAAAGACGCGCATGAGCAGGCCCGTGCAGCCGGCGGAGACACGGTGAGTGTTTAGCCGTCGTTGGAAGAGCCGCGCGTATCCCAGTGTGTTGTGACTTGAAGCCATTCGCAGGCGACAGCGGCGGGGACGAGTCTGGACAAGGATGCACAGTCGGTGCACGTGGAGCCGGCGCGCAGCGTGATCGCTCCGCGTTCGACGCACGTGCAGCACGTGCTCGTGACGGATGCCGGTGACACGCCGGGTCAGCACCGCGCCGTGCTTATGTTGGTAACACGAGGAGAGCCTCAGCTGAAGATTTTCCGTTTCGCTATTACGTATTTTTAGCGGAAAATTTTTCGCTATAAATACGCCCTTTTCGCGTCGGGGTAAGTAGAGATTACATAAATATGATTAAATGATTCAATTATTCAGATTGGTGCTGGCAGGAGTTCCCCAAGAGAGTTTTCCGCCGGGTTACGTGCCCATGATCATCAGCGAACAAACCGTGTTAGCGGATCCGTTTCCCGGATACCAGGTAAGACGGAGCAAGATTAGCTGAAGCTTTTGTCAATTTTGCTGCATTTCATTGCACTGCTTCGTTTTTATATGCGTACGCACGCGCAGCGGCAAGAGCGCGTCGTGTGTGATGTGGTGAGCTGCCAGCTGGAGGTGTGGTGGGAAGTGGTGCCTTTGCGTTTCGTGGTGCAGCCTTCCGTAGTGGAGTTGCCGCATTCCCGCCGCGTGTCAGAAGTGACAGCGGCGGTGTGTGGCGTTCAGCTGTGGGGTGCGAGTGGGATCACTGCACGGTGGACGGGACTCGCGCAGCTGGCGCCAGCGTTGCCGCGCGAACTGCATCTATCGCCCACACACCCTGCACCCGCACAGTTGCGCCTGACCCTGCAGCCGCAGGCTGACCACTATCCTGTCGAAGATATCATCGAGTGAGTACCGATGCGTGTCCCACGTCCAACTCCCGCTCAATGGTCGCCGACTGTAGGCGCTCTTGTGTATGCGTGCACAGGCTGACAGCTCCGGGGGACGAGTGGCGGACGGCGCTCCATGTGATTCGCGCGAGCGACACGCGACATCCCGCCCTCTTTCCGACCCACTCGTGGCTGGGTTTGGTGCAGCCGGGCGCACATCTGCGCTCTGAACTCACCCTGATCAACAACACGTATCAAAGTGTGAGTGCGCTGTGCCGTCGACGCCTCCGACCACCTTAGAATGACGACCTGTTACTAGCGACTCTTTTCGTGCAGATTTGCTGGTGGGGAAGTGCGTGGCGCTGGTGGCGCGAAAACGCACCGCACGAAGTGTGCGTCGAAAAGTCGTGCGGGACGTGCCACGATCGCCACTGCACTTGCGAGCTGCTGCGACCCACGCGCGGCGCCCTGCTGCACAACGCGCAGCAACAACTCGTTTATGACGTAAAAGCGCCAGATGTGAGTGGTCCGAAAAGGGGCCGGTGCTTACACTGCCGTTGCACGTAATACTAACTTGTAAATCGGTAGAGCGATGGCTGCGTAGCGACACTGGTGGCGGTGAGACGCACAGTATGCGATCTGGGTGTGCTGAGAAGCGCGCCCGGCGTGGAAGGTCGCGCGGCGCTGCTGGCCTACCGCGTCATGGCGCCAATAGTGGCACTGCGCGTGCATGTCTGGAACGAGGCTGACGATGGCTGCCCGTCGGCATGCGGTGAGCGCTGCTCTCCCGTTCACCCTTAACGAAAAGGGGATTAGACGAGGTGATAAGACGTCGTGGTGTGTAGGCTTTAACTGCGACCTGGACTGCGCCAAGTTGTGCCGGCACAGCGGGTCGTGCATATTGCGTCCTTCCAGTGTACTACGAGTTGGCTTGCGTTCCTGCTACCGTCTGCAGCTGCACAACCAGACTCCACAGCGCACGCGCGTGCACTGGGAGCCGGCACCAGGCGAGTACCTCACCCTTGGTTTAATAAGGCTACATCTGCAAAATTACAAGTTTTCAGGAAGGAGGTTTAAAGAAATTAGTTGAAAACTTTTTGCTTAAATAGCATTGCTCGACATAAGCAGTTTTTGATATACTATGATCACATGTAGCTTGACTAGGGTGCGTACATCTGGTGATCGCTCTCGCTCGTGCTTGCGAGCTACGCACGTGCATTCCGTAGTGCGATCTGTTCGCGCGCCGCTACATGTATTTAACTGCACGCATACAGCACGAGTACAGCGCTTGCGCAGCGCACATGCCTACTACGCATTCGCGGCGCATTTGCCAGATCTGTACGTACCCTTATATCAAGAGTACGATATATGCTACATAGGGCGCACTATAAGTTTCCGGAACATAAACAATATTTAAAAAGTAATTACAACATTTGAAAATGGAACTCTTTGGCTGCAGAATACAGTTTGTTTCATCTGATTGTCACTTGTTTTTACATTGTGGCGTCATTTTAGAAATTGGTTGTCCTCATCACCATGGATTTACTTTACTTTCGGAGTCAAACTGCTATTGGCGATGAAGCTTTTTTTTGAAGGACACTTTGCAGTTGGCCGCTGATGGTCTTGACTGCGCCACCGGAAGAAAAGGGCGAGTTGAAGGCTCATAACCTGCAAATTAAGCCGATGAAAAACCATGCAAGATGACTATTTATAGCTGGTTTGCAGAATTCCAACGCGGTCGTTTGAATCTCAGTGATGAATTTAACAATAAATTCATTTCTGATTTATTATATTTATATTTCATATTCATTCCGGAAACTTATAGCGCACCTCACGTAGTTCTATCTGAACCATTCGGTGTCATATTACTATGTTGTAGAAGTACATTATAGTGTCAGTAATATATGGTTTACAGAAGTCGACGAGTACCTCAAAATTACTTTTACACCAAACACTGTGGAGCTCAGGGGTTACGCTAAAGCGGAAGTGAGGGTAAGTATCGCATTTTCACATGTCACTAAAATGCAGGAAACAATTTTATTTCATCATCAACAGTTTACATGCATCCACTGCTGGATATAAGCCTTCCTCTGAAAACGCCAACTTTTCTGTCCTGTGCCGTCTGCCGACCAACCTTCTCAGGTCATCCGTCCGTTTTGCTGCTTGACGTCCTACTCCAAAAAGAAATATTCCTCAATTTGGTTCAACAATGGTAGACCAGGTTCTCCCGCTGTACGAGCTGCTTGTCTCGTACAGTAATATGTCAGAATCTGTCAGGTGATATCAGCGAGATGAGTAGCGAGGGTTTCAAGGCACTGTTGAAACGCACAACTTTTCAAAGAAAAACAATTGAACTATAAGATTTTTTTTTAATTTATTAAGGCTTTGGCAAAGCCATCAGCCTAAACATAAAGTTTAATTATGTTTCTGTAAATATGGCCGCCACAAAGAGGATAGGCAATTTGAGGCGGCGTGCTTGGATTGACTCGGGATTCCTTAAAACGGGCCGATACGGGTGTTTTAGTTCGAGATTCGTATAATTTCGCGTTTTAATCTTCGATTAAGGCACAATAGCACTATCCTATTCCACTTTAAACTAGATTTCACAAAATAATTGAAAGTCAAAATAAAAACGACACTTTTCCCTCCAAAAGGCCCAGAGCGAATCTTGAATTATAAGCATTGAC